ATAGGACTGAATTAGTGACAGAATTACACTGTTTGCTTGTGCCCTCTGGGGATGGAACTATCAACAGCTCACTGGTTTGAGAGCTGTGAGTCAGGGATGACATTTTCTGAGACAGACTGGAGTCTTCATCAGGGATGTGAAGTTGCCTTTGAATTGTGGACTACATTTTTTCATATTGATCTTTTGTGACACTTATCACTAGCATGTGGCTTTGCTTGTAAGAGGGGTTTTCACGCAACTTTAAAGCAAATACGATACATCCTGTAGCAAGCCGCCTATGAAGGTTAATCATTTACTGTCTCTACTAAGCCAAAATCTTGAGCTTTCTAGGAAAACTTGATGTGTTTGAGCAGACTAACAGGAGGAAGGACATTCACCACGTGTGTACCTGATATGGAAAAAATAGAGATCTGCTTTTGTTGCTTGGCATGGCATACAGTTTTAGTCATACGCAAAGGTCCTTGGACAGGCAATGCTCTTCAAGCATACACTCTGGCTACATTAAATGTTGGAATTCCCTAATTAGGAGCTACCTCCCCACTGCCCACAACAAACCAAACCACATGATCTTTTTGTAATTTTTTTTTGTACATGAGGTTGCCACTCAATGTGTGTAAAAAAGCAAATAATAGAGCTTCAGCATCAAAACTCTATTTCACCCTAATCCTCAAAAAGGTTCTTTTCTTTGGATCTTAATGTTACCATAAAGTCTTTTCTTGCATATTTAGGAAGTCAGTGAATCATTAAACAAAGCTACTCTTTTGCTGGAATTTACTGGTGTTGAAAATTAATGCTTTATTCCCTTAATTGATCTGCTCCAGTTACTCTCTTCAAGAATTTCAGTGCAACAACTTGAACACAATTTGAGAAATTAATTCCCTGAAGTCCTTGGTGTAATAATCAAAAGTGGAATCTATAAATTTATATCCATGTGTTACATGGTAATACTGTATGATCAGAAGTATTGGAAATAATTTAATAAGATCATACTAGGCATTCAACTATAAGAACAGTTTTGTAAAGATTTGGTTAAAATCAGTAGAAGAAGGAGTTAATTATTAATTATTTATTTGAGCATTAAAGACATGCTTGCAATTTTGTTTGTCTAGAATTCTACATTGATGACTTTATATCTGGATATGGAAAAGAATACAGCCACTGGAAACACTGAGTTTCACATTTACAGAGGTTTTTATGAAAGAAAATGTAGCTCCTAGCACCACCAGTTTTAAAAGCCAAATTATTCACCTTTTTACTATATCTGCCCATTTCTGTCTGAAAATGTCATTAATGATTATCAAAGATAGAGGAGACCAAGAGTCAATTCTACTTATAACAATCAAGTTCTGTCCTCATAGGAAATAAGTTCTTTTTAGAACTGCTGCTGTAGATTCTGAGGAGTCTAGTTTTCATGTTTGATTTCACAGAGGGTAAGATAAGCAATCCAAGTTGTATGTGATTTTCAGAGTTTGCTAGAATACAAAGAAAGTAAAGCAGAATTTGTATTATCAGCAACTTGTAAATTAATGGTAAGACAAAGCTGAAGAAAGATCTTTTATATTTCCAAATGTAGAATAACAGTATTATAATTTTATACTATATTAACTATATTTTACTTATATTATTATAAAGTTGTTTCTTCTGTAAATATTATATATATTAAAAGCTTTGGTTTATTGAAGCATTCACATAAAATTTGCTAGTAAGACAGATATGCTAGTCAAAGGAATACAAGATGCACAGTGTTAAACCAAAAAGGTGTGAAACCTTCTTGTTGGGAATTTTCTATTTCTGCTTGGTGGATAATTCTTTGATTTTCCACAGAAGCTGGTCATTCAAACTGACATAGTAATTTTCTGACTGGCTAAGTGGGAATACCTCATTTCCAAGGATAGCATGACATTTTGATACTCATTAGTGTAAAATGTCATCTGGAAAGAAATTGCCTAATGTTTGGCACTTAAAAATATTTGAGGGTTATTGCAAGCGAATACTTCTTGATTCATTTTTGTATCATTTTTACTCTTGTTTAATTAGTATGAAATTATGGCATTATAAGGAGCTTCTATATAACTATATGTAACAAGTAATAATTGAGGATCACCTTAGTTTTTTCATGGGTTTCTTAAAAAAAGGTTTGGATCAGGATAAAACAGAACACCTCACCTATGAATTGTTCTCATTATCCCTAGGACTTCTCAGAAGTACACTCTTTCAGTACCTATTAGAGTAGGACTAAAGAGTATCTATACCCCCTCCTATTTCAGAGATCAGAACTTGGACCTGTGCATGTGTGCTTTCTTGATTTTAGAATTCAAAGATACAATTAGATAAACTTTTGCATGATCTAAATAACTCTTTTTTTTTTTCCTTATTACATGTTTACATGTTTTACAGACCATTTTCAGTAGGGAAGGAAAAGTGTGCTCACAATGTTTTGACTTGGATTAGGGTGAGGGATGTAATGAGGACAACAGGTATTTCTTAAGGAGTCAATAGCAAATGAGACTTTACCAACTAAATCACAGGGTTATTCCCTGAAGTACTGTCACATGGAGCTGAATTGAGACTTTCTAGGAAGAATTCCAAATCTTTCAAAATTCATGTGATTCCTTTAATAAAATTCATACCAAGTGTGTGCATATGTGTGCAGGCAAAGCCGTCAGGGTTCTTTAGGCTGGTTATTCCCTCCTGATAGCACTGGGGATCATGAAAACATGAAAGCAGACTTATTTCTGCAAAATGTCTCAATGCATGTTATCAATGCTTAAAAGCAGAGAAATAGACTAGCTGGCTGATTCTCTCATTAATTTAGATTCTGGGTTTCTTAATCAACTTGATATTCATGATGTGTTGGCCTAGCTCCATGCATGAAAATAACAAGGCTCTGAATGAAGAAGAAACTTTAAAAATATTTTAATGATCTTGCATTTGTTTTTAAGCCATGCTTTATGTTTTTCTTTTACCATCAATATGAAATTTCTTGTATTATCACAGCAGTTCAGTATAACCCCAAAGCCAAACCACAATTTTTTCTGTCTTAAATCATAAAGCTGACAGTGGATTTATTAGCACAACATCCTTATAAGAAATCAATAATAAAACCAGAAAACTCCCATAATCTCACAAGTAAAGTTTAAAGTTTTAGGGTTAACCTATGAGTTAAGCTCAGAGTTAATAAAATAGCATTCAGTGATGTGAGCTGGTATCCTGGTTCTGGTTGGAGGGACTGCTTTTATGTCTTAGGAGGACCTTCAGTTTATTTCAAATCATAAAGATATGACACTTTCAGTATGAGGAAATGCAGTTCTTAGAAATTATCCATAATCTGCTCACACCTCAGGCTTTTAACAAACAATGTCTATCAAATTTTCAGGAAAAAAGGTAAATATTTAAATTAAATACACTATTATACCACAGAATCACAGTCCCTTCTTAGTTGGAAGGGACTCAAGGATCAACTCATAAGTGAATGGCCTGGATAGGGATCAAACACGCAACCTTGATGTTATTAGCACCATGCTCTGACCAGCTGAGCTCATCTCAGGGTCACATGGAATATTTATATGAATAAATATTAAGGCTCTTAAGGGATTGATTAGCAGTAAGAAAATTCCTGAACAATGCTGTTCACAAACTGAATTGGTTCCTATTCACTTGGTTTGGGGGTGATTGGGTTAGAGACCATTTAATCCAAGCTGACATCCAAAAGTCCATGGATCCTGATGGGATGCACCCAAAAGTGTTGAGAGAACTGATGGATATCCTTGCTAGATCATTCTCAATCATGTTGCAAAGATCACAGTAGTCAGGAGGGGTAGAGGACTGGAAGAAAACAAATGTTACCTCAGCCTTTAAAATGGCAAGGACAACCTAGGGAACTACAGGCCCCACAATCCTTTGCTTCCAAGATACTAAATTTAAAATGCTCTGTGACACAACAATGATATATTCATAATGCCTTGAAGAGTCTTAGTTTTTCCTCAATTTACAAATACATGTTTTTAATGCAAGCAAGTCTACTGAAAATGATAGCTGTGAATAATGTCTATATTTTAGAGCTCATTCTAATTTTAAGATTTAAGGCAGCATTTCTTTAATACTTCAGCAAAATCTATATTCTGAAATGCATGTACTATGAGTTTGTTTATTAGTATGTTTATTATACCTGTATATTGCTTCCTACTTATAAAAAAACTCTTGAGATAAGCTGAGATATTATCTCAAGATCTTATAAAAAAAGCTCTTGAGATAATATTAAAACATTTTCAGGTTGCTCCAAAGAAAGTAGAAATATTGGAAAGATCAATATTGTCAACAGTGATGGACTAGTCTGATAGTGATTCATTATTTCAGTTCCAGTACTTATGAACTTTGCCGAGAGAATGACATGCTGAATGCCCCCTAACACATTAAGATGCTGATCTGCCTTCTAAACTGGTGAAAGCTGTGTTTCCATCAAGTATTCAAAAATCACATCTCTTGTAGACCTAAAGATGCCACAGAATGGATGAATTTAGGGAAGTAACGCCTTTAATTCAGTAAAAGTGTTTTAAAGTTTGCTTACAAATCAGCAGGGTCTTGTAATGAAAACGCATAGTTTCATAATGAAGTGATTCTGAATCTTAAATGTAATCTACTTGGGATTTGTAAACTCTTAGAGGGCAAAGTGTAAGGATCGAATTTTCAAAGGAGAATTACATGCTCAATTTCTGTTAACTAATCCTTTAGGCAGTATTGAAAATCTGTGCCTTACATAATGAATGCCACTGAGGAATCAGCTTGTTAACATAATGGATTCTGAACTGAATGGGAAGGATATTGGAAAAGAGGGGTAAGAGTGGGTGATTCTACATACAGAATGCAGTGTAAATTAGGGACATTATTTTCCTATTTCTCTCCTTTTATGTAATTAATTTTTATTAAGATTTGATTTTTCATGTCGTGGGAGATGGCAGTTGGGAGGAAAGGACATCCTCCTTCCTTTGTTCTTCCAGTGGGTAGCTGGCACTACCCTGTGCTGTCCCTCTGTCCTGGAAGCTGGGGAGTAGAACTTCCTTAATTTCTGGCTGCTTCTGCACACCTCTGTGGAAGAGAGGCATGGAACTTATGTGCCCTTGCAATGCAGATATGAAGAGCTAAAGGTAAGGATCCTGACCATTGTTACTAATAAATTCAGTTTATGTTGTTAAACTTGGCCCCAAATAAAGCAGAATTCTTTCACCTCTAACCCAGAGGCAGAGATCTTAAAGTCAAATAAAAAATGTAGGCACATAGAAAACTGTGTGTCCTCAGGAAACCAGGTATGAACTTTGGACTTTGGTACTGATGAAGTAACTTACTGCTGTCTAGGTCTCTTTGAGGTTTCTGAGTTTTATAAAATGCTCTGTCATGTAAGGGGCATGGTCCTTGAAGGCACCTTAGTGCTCTCCTCGAACCCATGTAGTAAATGGGCATAACAAACCTTTACTAACATCTGGTATAATATATATGTGAGGGGTAGGAGAATAGATGCTTTCATCTCAGCATATTTAAAAGTATGCCATATATATATAAATTTCTTCTATTCTTCAGTGGAAATCTCATGCCTAGTTTAGTGGAAATATTCTAAAAAAAATACTTAAATATATTAATATATCCATATTTGAATTATTTGGGCCCCAGATTGACCTGATAACACAAGAAGATCTGTTTAGGAAGTAGATTAAGAGAAAAAAGAAAGAAAAAATAAAAATAGAAAAATAAAATCAAACATATTTCGTTTTTCTTTCCTGAAAAACTCCACTTATTTACTTACTGAAGCTGAACCACAGAAAAGAGAATGGAGAAAGAAAGTCTAAAAGATGAAAAAGGAGTTGTCATGTATTAATAGAAGTGCCAGTGCAAGAAATGCTGACATTCAGAGTTGATTGGTAGTGAAATGAAGGCAAAAATGTATGAAGAAAAATGTGCAGAATGAACAAAAGATAAGTATAGCAACGATATGAGATGAGAATATTTAACATTATTGCTCTAATCTTATCTAGAAACCCTTTCATAGACAAATACAATTGCACAAGCAGAAATGAACCAAATGAAAATGACATCCAGGTCAACGAGGCAGCACAGCCCTCAGCAGCTGAACCACGTGTTGGTCCCAAGATCCACTGCCAGCGCAGCCGCCCACACAGCCAGATGCTGCTGGAAGAGGAGGACCGTCCACAGTTGGCATTTAACTCTTGAGAGGGAAGTAATAATGTTCAGATTTTTTTAATGACTGAATTACATCTTGCTGTAATAGATGAATTTAAATTCTCATATGCTCCTACAACTGTTTTAGTAGACATGCTATGTAGTACATCCTATTCTAATAAGAACCTTGCTTTTTCTAATAGATTGTTAATAGCAATATAACTCCATCCCAGATTAATCGTATACTACTTTAATTAAGATGCATTTATTTTGTAAGGAAAACCAGCAAAGGCTTGATATTTTCTTGTAAAAAAATCATTAATGATAGATGCAACATCTAGTGGAAACCTGACAGTACTCCTATCATTAACTTTCCAAGCACAGTCTCTCGACTGTCAAAGTTCACCTTTTGACTTTTTTGAAATGAGATTCTCTTTGTAGTAAGCATAAGAAGCTGTTCTTACACAACCTATGTGATATTTTGTTTCAGTGCACTAATTAGATGTCTTTACATCAGGGACTTTCCAAGACATAGAAACACCCACACATTATTGAATCAGATTTATTGAAAATACTTGTTAAAGACTTCAAGATTTTTCTCTGGGGTTTATCGAGAAGCCATTTGGACTCAAGATTCACTATGAGGGCTCCAGCTAGGATACTCTTCGCATTTCCACTGCGGATTGTTTTCTTATGTAGTTGTAAATCTCTGTATTATTACACTCCAAATTTGCAGGACAAGATTTATTCCTATTAAAAAAAAAAAAAAAAAAGAGTGAAGAAAGAAAAAAAAGAAGCAATGAGAGGAAGATACCGTAATTACTGTAGAGAATTACTGTAGAGAAACACCACACTTAGAGGTTCTGGTAGTGGACTTTACCTTGCTACAAAAGGGAAATATAACTATCCTTGAAAATGAATGGCTTTTTCAGTCTGGTATGAATTGTAACAAAGATAGTCTACATACTAGATGGTTGTCATCCAACATCAGCCAAGGAAAGCTGACACTCGAAAGTCACTCTCTTAACATCTATGGCAATCTGCTTTAGAATATTGCTTCCTGTAAAATAAGAAATAGAACAACTAAGTGTGATAAACCATATTCTTTTTTTAGTTTACTTGATAAATGCTATTGCAGGACAGTTTAAGGTTGGAGTAAGGGACACTCCAGGGAATAAGGGGGAAATTCATTTTTTGGTCTCTAGTTCTCTGACGCTAATCATAGATGTATTTGTGTTAGTTTATCTCTGCTGACTCTGACCTATGTAAATCCACAAAGACTACAAAGAATAGGAACAAGTGCACACTTTTGTTATGCTATTTCATTAGAAGTGGTGAAAAATCTCTTCTTTTTTTTTGTATTTTTTTAGTAAATAGGAGTACACCTCTGTCAAAAACATTAACTCAATGAAAGATCTCCTTCCTGATGATGCTCTTAATATATAGTACTTCACTGACTTCAAATTCTTTTTACATCAGTTGCATGTCTAGCTGATAACTTCAGAATCTGTTGGCATCCACAGAGGAATTTTATGAGAGATACTAACAGGCAGATATTTATAAAATGTCACTATTGCTTTAGAGCTGTATGTATGCAAAAGATGACAGAGGTGATGCTTAGATTTTTCATATTTCCTCTGGTCCTTATGCGAACAGGAGATACAATTAAGGAACTAAGAAGAAATGAAAACTTGCACTTATTTTGTGAATTTCAACTTTTCCCTTGCGGTATATCCAAACAGGGATTGCTACCTTCCTTCGCTCTATATGACCTAAATATTTTTTCTGAAATTGCAGTGATGTGCAAACATAAATTAATCAAAATATTAAGAAGAAAGTATGCCTCAGGATAAATATAGGGTGAATTTTGTACTGGATATCTACTGTGTAAGTTTCAGAAGATTAGAGTTTAAAAAAAGAGATTTTAAATAAACAGGAGGCTTTTTCCCAGCTACACAAGCCTACCTGCTGCCAGACTCAGACAAAATGTGTAAAGGCCTTTGCTGTGTTGATGCTTATCAAAAGAATTTCTGGGGGGTACACTAGAGAAATTTCTTTGAAATCTTACCAATAATAACAAAATAGCTTAAGAATTAAAAATCCTGTTATGCAACATTAGTTTATCACTCCCTAGAATGGTGACCTTGCAATGCTTGGGTAATGTTTCTCCAAGCTCACTCTCATCTCAAAGCAAGAAAGTGAAGGTATTGGCAGTGGGGATAGCCATGACAGAAGCCTGAAAACCTGCACACCTTAAAACCAAACATTTTTTGTCGTGTCACAGAGTCACCTGTAAATACAGGTAGGATTTTTTGGTTTTCATTTTCAGCATATGGGCATGTCAGATACAGATAACACTATGCAGAGTGAACTTCAGGTTTCTCTCATCATAAATAATATTTTGGTGGCTTTATTGGCTAGGAATTGTATTTGGTTGATCGATTTTGGTTTTTTTTTTAATAGAGCAGTTGCATGACTTTGATTTATAAATATATGTGTGCGAAGCATTCATTTTTCAAATGAAGGGAAATTTTTTTCCATTCTAATCTAAAAGCTACATATGGTCTTTATGACAACAACAGTGTCTATTGCATCTTTACAGTAGTCTTATCACTACCCAGAAGTGACAGCTTATGACAATGTCAAAGGTAAATCCAAATGGAAATTGGGACATATTTTCACTGGCAGAACGTAGTTTAAAAAAAAAAAATTGAAAACGATAACTGATTGAAACACTAAGCCCCCATGTACTCTGAAAAGCTGTAACATTCACTATAGCTGAAGTTCCAACACAAATGACTGAATTTAACTAGTTCAGCACATGTGCATCATTCTCAAGAATCTTGGAGCACTAAAACTTGGACATCTTTTGGGTAGATCCTTTTTGTAATAGAGTTGCTTTGTGCTGCCAGACTTCACTTTTTTGACAAGTTGAAATCATAAGGTGGCATAGAGTCACTGTGGCAACAGGCTTTTGGTAAAGCTTAGGCCAAAGGGAAGAAGAAGAAGGATGGCCACTATGCATTTAAATCCTGGATATTTTTTATTGCTATGATAGGGTTTAGACTTTGGAGACTCAACAAGTGCAAAGATCTGGTGTTCATTTTCAGCTTTAGGAGTAATGTGGTCATAGGGTGCTTTATATAAACACCTCTTAAATTTCCTTTTTACTTCCCTTTTTACTTCTTTATTTCTTATTTTCAAGTAGCTTGAATTCAGAGCTTTAGCTAGTAGCCCAGAATCTGGACTTTCTTGTATTTATATCCCACATTAAGGAGCTTTTTTGTCCACATTAAAATGTAATCTTGAGCTGAAAATAATGAAATATTTATTTGCAACATGCACAAAGAGTTGTAGGAAGTGAATAGAAATAAAAGAACTGACCCTAGTAACATGGTTACATACTTCTCAATTTATATAAGGTAAATTTTTCAAAATGCTACTCTAAATTATACTATACAGTGCATGATTTTTATTGTTCTTATTTCAGATTGAACATAAAGATAGACCTGAATTTCCACCAGAGTTTAATTCTGTACTTTACCATATCATTGTCTTGTTTTGTTAAAAGTTAAACCTTTGAATTGCCACTACCTTTAAATTGCAAAACTTCATGAAATTGCCATGTAATGAAGATTCTATTTTGCTTAAGGCTTCCGTTGTTTTCCTTTGATGTTATAGAGTGGTGGAATTTTTTCCCCATCCTTTACAAATAAAACTGAATCAGCTGATTGTTTTGCTACAGAGTCAACTTGCCATTTATAGGAAAGTGGGATCCTTGCTTCTAATTACCGGTCTATTATTTAATTTATTAGAAACTGATGTATATACAATTGAAGAGAAACATGATGAAAAAATTCCCCATGTAGAGAAACAAAACAAAAAATCCACTAGTTTTTGGGTTTTTTTTCTTAACTGTGGGATTGTTCTTTCATATTTGTACCACTAACACATGTAGCATATTATAATGGCTAGGTGGGAAGAATATATTAATCCCACACTTAATACAAAGTCTAATGTTTTCCTCTTTATAGCATGCAGCCATTCTTTTATTCCTGTTCTGTTGCTACAGAGTCTATGTAAGATTTCACAGAATTATTATTTTTTTTACTATGAGGAATGGTCAAATGCTTTTTTCCCCAACAAAATCAAAACACCTTAAGAAATTACCTTGGTATTGTGTTTAGTCTGGCACCTCCTGCATATTCAGAGCATAAAGAATTTTCAGCATCAAGAAGACATTTCACTGTGAAGTCTTTCCCCCTGATTCTTTGTGACTGCTGGGGAGGCAGCTAGAGAAACAGGAAAGTCGTTCTGGATGTGATCCTGATGGAGGTACTTCTCTCGTTGCCCGTCCATGGATGGTTCACATAGTGTCCCAGGCAGCATGGAAATTTCAGACAAAGTTTATCAGGGAGACCCTCCTTCTGAGTCACAAGGATCAGAAAGACCTCCCTTCTAAACTCCTCAGAGAGGAGTTTAGGTGTGTCTGGACCCAATTCTATTCCCAGATTTGCTCAACAATCTGTGTCTAAAGGGTTATATCGGCGCAACTGAGCTTTTATACAACATTGTCCTGCAGGGTTAAGAATGACAACATAAATATATTTCTGTTTAAGCAATAAATTATTTGTTTAAATTGATGATGATTGTAATAATGATTAGACTAAAAGACTTTAAGCAGAATTATTTACTACACAGCATAGATCATTAAAATAAAGTGCATTATTTATTGAAGGAATATTGAAGCAATGATGTTAAATCTAGCAAAATAAATAAGTAGAGATTAATGTTACTCAGCCATACCAATGACTGTTGGCAAGTCTCTTTTTCTGTGCCTGAAGGATTAAACTTGATAAGCATCCCAGCTCAAGGGAGGAAGCTCCACACACAGTCCAAGCAGTGTGTGAGAAGACCCTGTCTTTAAAAAGTGGGACTGGCCTTTCACAGTATAAAGTGATTGTCAGTCGTGTTTCTAGGTGAGCCATGCAGCCTACAGCTCATCAGCTTTAGATAAGTTATCAGTATCACCACTTGTTCATTCTTTCATCAGGAATTTTGTCTGCCACATGCTCACTGGTGCCATATTCTGTCAGACACTATTCTTTACATGCTCAGAATGTTTAACTTTTGGGTTGATGAGTTAGGTTAGTCTTGGCATTCTTAACTCCAAAAGCAGCATAACCTTCCTTCCCATCCACCACTGATTACTCTTGCAACTAGGTTAAAGTTCAAAGTATTTTACTGCTTAAGCAGAGGTTTTGCTGCAACAGGGAGGCATTTGAATTGAGAGGCAGTAACTAACTGGCATACTAAGTTAAATCAGGACTATTAGAAACACATTTTTAGTCTTTGGATGATTTCTCTTACAAATATCTGCTATGAAGGAACCATAACATAAGAGGAGGAGGGAGCTATAAAGAGCCAAAAGCTTCAGAATACAGGAGCTTAGAGTTGCAGTGAAGAACAAGCAGATCTCAGCAACTCCTGTAAGCATCTATAGCTCAGTCTTCAGATTGAGTGAATATATATGCACCTATTATTGGAAAGTGAGAAAATGCAAATGTCTGGGACCAAGTAAAAGAATAATTTGTAAAAGTTAGTAGACTTTAAAAAAATACCAGCTGGATAGTTAGAAAAATATTGTGTTTGTTTACACTTAGTGTAACTTTAAAAATTATAAACTCAACCATCTAAGTGTAGCAAATAAAGAATTTTAGATGTGGCTGACCTGTTCAACTCAAATTCAATTTCATCTTTGAGGCTGTAACAGATGTCTTATAGACTGGAAGCTAAAATTCTTTTTCTGATAATATTTGAATCATTCAGTGTTCACTCCACATAACTCATATTCCATTTGCTGTCTTAGATGATGTTCTCTACACTAGAATCTAGTTTTACCTTAGGAATCAACTTGTTATATTTATGCAGAATGTATACGAACTGCACTGTAGTATCAGATTTTTCCCCTTTTCTATTTTTTTAAGATTTCCTTTCCCTTCCCTTCCCTTCCCTTCCTTTCCCTTCCTTTCCCTTCCCTTCCCTTCCCTTCCCTTCCCTTCCCTTCCCTTCCCTTCCCTTCCCTTCCCTTCCCTTCCCTTCCCTTCCCTTCCCTTCCCTTCCCTTCCCTTCCCTTCCCTTTCCCTTTCCCTTTCCCTTCCCTTTCCCTTTCCCTTTCCCTTTCCCTTTCCCTTTCCCTTTCCCTTTCCCTTTCCCTTTCCCTTTCCCTTTCCCTTTCCCTTTCCCTTTCCCTTTCCCTTTCCCTTTCCCTTTCCCTTTCCCTTCCCTTTCCCTTTCCCTTTCCCTTTCCCTTTCCCTTTCCCTTTCCCTTTCCCTTTCCCTTTCCCTTTCCATTTCCCTTTCCCTTTCCCTTTCCCTTTCCCTTTCCCTTTCCCTTTCCCTTTTCCTTTTCCTTTTCCTTTTCCTTTTCCATCCAAAATATTTTCAAGCAAATATTGTTATAATAAATGCTTGACTTGTACAGTGCCAGCTTATGTACTAAATTATTCAGGTAAAAATAAACTTGGACAGTTTGAAAATAAACTAATGTGATGAATTAGACTGAATAAAGAATTAATGGAAAAACAGTGCAAATATTTGTTGGTACATTTAACTGTGAGGTTTAAGTGAAAGGGAAGAAATAATTTTATTTTTAAAAAAGGCAAATTAAAGTAAATAATCTTCCTCATGTTTATTTCACTGGTAGATCTATTCAAGCTGTTCTGTGGGGATTTTGTTAAAGATTTATCTCATACTCCTGATGTCTATGTCATCATTTTACACGTGGTCCAAATTACTCAAGGAGGCTTTTATATGAAGGCTGTTTTTAACTTGGGTTGTTTTATTAATAAATTGCACCCTAAGAAAATGCAAATGAGGTGTCACAGAGCAGGGAAATTCCTGTGTCATCTCATTGCCACTTAGATCTCTGTCCCATGGTGCACTTCTAGGTGTGCAGTGGTGTTTTAGATGACCTTATTTTTAACAGTGGTTTAGTTCACCTCCGCAGATCTGCCTGGGCACTAGGTGGGTCTCTAAGTCACAAGTGTGTGTGTTTCACCTGTGCAAAGGACACCAAAAAACGAAATATTAAGGTTCTAGTCCCTGTGTTCCCCTTGCCAAACTTACTGCCTGTCCAGTCAAGTATTGTGGGAGTAGCACACATCCCCCATGGGGTCTCTGCAGCTGACAACTTCTCATGTCCCCAGATGTTCTCATGTCCACAGATGTTCTCATGCAGCTATGCTGTGGTTACGTACACACATGGTGGGTGCCTCAGTTCCCCAGGGGCTGAAAATATTCCTGACCGCTAAAGCTGGGCTTTGGATGCCAAGTCTGCTTCTGTGTCCCTGGAGTCAATAGCCAGGGTAGAGAACTTTACTGAGAGGATTCAGCTGTTAATAGAGGTGTATACGTGCAGAAAATGAAAGTGTCTTCTTGTGGATATTTGTGTTGGATTAGTTGGATGGGACCTGACAGTTCCGATGTAAGTCTGTGTGAGATTACCCATTTTTCAAGTCCTGAGACAGAAAGAGTGCCAATTCAGTCAGCTGAGCAAGAATTCATGAAGAACAGTAGCTCATGAAGAAAAGCTAGGTTTTTTTCAATTAGATGAGCTGAGAAAACTGGCAGAGTAACCCCAGTTATGAATAAAAGGATCCTTCTTAATAAAGTATCCAGGACAAAGTGGTATGGTGCCAATCATACCAATCAGGTCAGAATGGGCAAGTCAAAATATTAGGTTGGATTTTCTTTGATTTGGTGCTCTTATTAGATTGTGCTGTTTGGCTTGGATTTTTTTGTTGTTTTGGGTCTGGTTGGGTTGGTGTTTTTTTGGAGGTTTTTTTTTTGGTAAAGATATTGTTTGTTTGGGTTTTATTTTTTTGTTTGTTTTTTTTTTTGGGGGGGGGGGTTTGGTAAAGATATTGTTTATTTCTTTTTTTTTTCCTGTAAAATATTCCAGAGTACTGAAAGGTAAATGATTTATACCTTGTTGTCACATCATATAGGTGCTTCTAAAGCAGAAGTATGGACACCACATAGTCTTTCATTTAACTGCTGCTATGATTTGTAAGCACATATGGTAGTACATCACAGTGGTCATGAATTGAGATTCTGCTGTGCTGTACAGATGCCTCTAGCTCCAGAGGCCTCCTAAACTTCCAGGCTTCCCAGATAGGGTGCTTTCTGTAGAACCAAAATTCTCACAGTTATTACTGTTCTTTTATACTCCCAGCACTCTGCAAAATATGTTTCATTGTCTAATAAAAGTAAGAAATGTATATAGTTCATAAAATCTCAGTCACATAAATAAATGTCAAAGCACACCATGTTTCATTATGCCTTATATTTTTGATCTTAAAAAATCCACCATATTTAAAGTCCTGTACTATTCTCCTTTATCTGAATTCAAAGATGCACAGAAGACAATTATGTGCAAGAATTAGCTTTTATTTTGTTTGTGACAGATTCATTGTTTGCTTTTGCCAGGCTCCAAACCACCCACTGAACAACATGAATATTCAGAAGTTATCAGCAGCTGTAGCCAGCTTGATTTTTCTCAAGAATTCTAGTATATACATTGACAATGAATTCACTTTTGTATGCAATAGTTGTGCATGAGCTGTTCCCTGATATGATTATTTTGGATCTTTTTGAAAAAGTCTGAGAAGTATTCATGGTTTACCACAAAACTTCATCAGCTCAAAAAACCCTTGAAAAAGCCTTGAAAAGCTACAGATGTTTCTGTTCAGTTCTTTCTGAATATCTGCTGCCTTATAGACAGATTTAGGAATGTATACACTTGAATAACTATGTTCTTACAGTCAGGCACAGGGAGCCAGCAGGATTCATGAATTAAGTATGTGTATATCTGAATTAAGTATGTGTATAATTAAGTATATCTTGGATGTGATTTAGGAATGGGGTTTCAGTCTTCAGCAACTAAGTATGTGGTTTTGGAAGGAACAGTTTGTAATTGTCCAGAGAAAGAGGTTACAATATAAGCATAGAATTATAGATCAATCTGTGAATGTTTATAAAAATGTATATGTGAGTTCCATTTACTGTTTTCCTGAAGATTTTTGTGATGTAAGGGGTGCATATGCATGATGGTTGTGTTATAGTCAAGATGACAATGGTGCCTGCAGTGAATACTGTGGTGTATGGGTTTTGAGCTGACAGAAAGCCTTGACAGCATCATGGACTTTTAAGCATGGCTGGGAAAAAATCTCCAGTTAGGTGTGGTTTGATTAATGGGAAGATACTTATTGGTGTGCTCAAGAATGCTGTAGTCCTCTGAGATATCCCAGGCATACTGCTATGAGAAGAAAACCAATTGCTTTTCAAACTCAAAAAGCAGTCAAATATATTCATTCAGACGCCAAAACAGTATCAATATTTTCTGTAATAGCTGCTTGGATTTTTACAAGCAGTGATTGAAATTTTGTTTTAAGAGGCTTTTTAGTAAGGCCTCTTGAATGGATAAGAGCCTGCCTTGACTGTAGAATATGGTCAATATGAATATATCCTTGTCTGTCCATGTGTACTCTTCTGAAGAGCATCACTATCTTTAAATAGTCCAAGCTGATTGTTACTCTTAAAAATAAAATAGTTAAGTTAGAGTGGAGAAGATTTTATGTCATTTATATTTCAGAATACATTTTGTTATTTATAATATAATTCTGGATTTGGTCACTCCTAACTTCCTGAACCACAAATATTCGGGACTGTAAATTTTCTGTTCTTGGTAAAAATGCATTTTAAAGTTTTTCTTACAACCTGGGTAACCTTTTCAGGAGTTTGAAATTACAGAGTTATGCCTATTTTTAAGAATGCACTGATCTCATTTTCACAGTAAAAAGAATTGGTGTAAGCAGAGACATTGCTAGTAACAAACAAAGCTTTTTCAAAGTCAGGATAGAGCATAAAGCCAATTGTAAAGGGCATAATTCCCTCCTGTTTAACTGTCCTTATTAATTTAGATCTCATAAATCCTTAAAGTCTGTGTTTTTGCCTCCCTTACAAGATCTATCTCCCCACATATCCTTACATGGGATCATTGTATTTAGTTTGTTTTCAGTTTAAACTGGTAATAGGAAGCCACAGCAAAGCAGAAGGTAAAGAGGTAAAGACCTACACAGATATCCATGAAAGGTTGTATGTGTATGAAAAAGCAATCAATAGATCAACCACACTTATTTGTGTACTTCTTTCCTGAGGAGTGTTACATGAAGTCTGGATTGATGTCCTAGGGCGACTTTATGATGCTGAAATGTATCCTCATTCTTCTTTTTACCCCAGAAATAAGTTTTGTGCCTTTAGAACTAGATCCAAAAGTGAAGGCGGGGGAGAAGGAACGGCAGCGGAATTTTTTCATGGCTGTATTCAAAACCATAGCGATAGGAGCTTCGGCTCTCTCTCGCTGGGTGTTGTCTCCAGCACAAAAAGACAGTGAGCTTTTTCATTGCTTTTTCCTTGGTTTTCCTTGTTAGCTACAGCAAGAAAAGTTTTCCCAAGACTGTGTCTTTTTTTTCCTGGAGCTGTTTGTACCTGCTCTGGACTGAAAACCCAGAAGAGCACTGGAAGCTCACACCTGTGGCCCACTGGGGGCTGATAAGAGACTGAGTGAGCCAAGTCTCC